TGTCATTGTGTACATTGTATTGTACAAGTATGTCATTTTGTCCGAAAGTGAATTAAAATAAATAAATTATCAAAATGCCACCAAACATATGACCATTACAATAAAAATGATAGATTCATTAGTACTGACATAAGTTTATTGATTTGAATAGAAATTATTATAAATAACAATAAAGAGGTCAAAAAAATCAAAAAAGCACCCTTAAAATAAACTTTTGAAAGCGCGATACACGTTTGAACTGATTACTCCAAGTGTGACAATGACGTTCTACATCTGACAGGATTGCGATTAAGGCTTTCTTATACAGTCGCAAAAACGTCACTAAAACTAGCCAATTTTAAATATGGCCACTGTATCATATTGTCCATTCATACTAATTTTTCCGTATTTTCTATACTTTTTATTCTTTCCGGTATTGTTAAACAATAACCTTAGCATATAAATATCTGCGTTTAAACCGAATTTGAAACCTTTGCTCAGTGTCAACGTTACAAACTTCATATGTATATCTTCCACAGATAAAAATTTGATAAAAAAAAAATATATATACAATTTCCACAGGAGTCGTATTTCAGAATAAAGCAAAATGTTTTGTGTTATTGTTCGTCAATGACGCGCCATGTTATATGAACACCAAGTATTTATTACAGTCTAAACATTTTCCATTGTTTATGTACTCAAAGTCAATGACTTGTTAATGAACAATGCAGTTTCAAGTTTTATAAATTACATGTTTACATATATATCGATATCATAACATCATACATCGTTGGTCTACAAGCTAATACTATTGTGTTTTGAGACGTGCAGTGCAAAAATAAACAAAACGAAAATTAAATAAGAGGGTAATTCGAGAACAGATGATTGATGAATTAAATATGTTTAACAAAATAAACTGAAAGTAAGATATTCAATAATAAATCTAATGAAGCGCAAAAGCGATAGTTCTAGGTATCACCTTATCGTTAGTTTTCCAAGCATTCAATTTATAATTAATGATTAGAAATTAAACAATCGAATATATTTGGATAACATCTAATTTAATTAACTGAGTTAATAATTAGTCCTTTATATTGTAACTTTTTTATTTCTTATTAAAAAATACACTTGTCAGACATTAAATTAAAAGTTATCCAAATATAAATTTTTCATAGTAATATGATAAGTCGTATTGTTTTCAAGATAAGTGTGTGCATGTTAATTAAACTAATTAATACTGTAAAGCAATTAAGTTTCATGAAAGTGTGTGAGAAATTAAAGTAAACTTTGCAACTATTAATGATTTACTATTTTACTAACACATCAATATGCTAAATCTACAATATTAATGCATAATGTTGATTTAATAGACACAACAATCAAAGTAATCGTCCGATCAAAAAAATATTTATAGTTTCAATGTTTGTATAAAATCAATATAAGTTAGAATTTATGCTCTGTTTTGATAATAAAATGTATTATCTTTTGCTGATTCTTTCATTAGAAGTTAGTTTTCAAGTATTAAAAAAAGTTATATCAAATTTACTATTTTCAATATTCAAGAGAATCTAAATCTATTCAAGAGAATTTCTATGAATTTATGGTGTAAATCTGCATTTTATCAGAAGTTAGTTTACATGCATTTTTTCTAATATAATATCTAATTCTCATTACCTGTATCTAGTTCGTCCTGATCTTGAGCTCCTGATGCAGCAGGGTCGGTAGGCATGTGCGTCTGGTCCAGCCCGGCGACTGGATGTCTTCCTGTAATATCGCAAGGCGGCAGTTGAGGGACCACTGAGGTGCCAAGTCCAGCACTTGGCAGTGGTGGACATTGTGAAAGTGGCGGCAAAGGAGGCAGAGGAGCAGGTTCGCATGGGGCGTCATCTGCTTCGCGCAGGGTCGAAACTACTGCTTGGTGGAATTCTAGTAAGTCGTCACCTAAAAGAATAAAACGATATTTCTAATTATATAAAACTTACTTATTTCAAACATTTTTTTTGAAAAACCATACCCAGTAAACACCATGTGATGTGAGCGTCGGCAACAACCTGAAATCCACAAGCATTCCTTCGGCGCTGTGACACCCATGTATAACTTATGTGGACTTCAGATTGCTACCGCCGCCCGGTTGTTTACTGGGGTAAATAGTGTTTATGCAATTCGTGTTTGTTGCATTATTTTTACTGTATTTTTGTAATTGTATTAGTGTTTTATATTGTATAACTTAAATTAGACAAATTCATTAGTATTAGATTCATTATTCTATTACTGATGGCTCGTGTCATCAATATCCAATGGTAAAGGCTGTTTTCTCTTGGAAACATATTGCTATCTATATTTTAATTTATCATCTCAAAACTATTGACCTATTAATCTCTGCACAAAGTGTGCCGGTACAAGTCCTCGTCTGCCATCTAATAATTCTCCATCAAGGTATCCTCCAGTAGGTTCACCATGACCCCAGACCAAAAGATAATCTCCAGCACACAGCGCCAACTCGCCTTCTGCACCCTCAACACTGAAATCATATTGATATATAAAATAGCCTTTTTAATATTTTGGTAATACTATATTTCATACAAAATGGAAAGTTAGATATATTCAACACGACGCAATTATTCAAATTATTTATTTATTATTCGAAACATATGATTATATTATTTATATGATATATTTATATTTAATAGCGACAAATATCCTGAGTTTGTCATCTTCATCAACTCCATCATGACTCCCCTCCCTGAGTTTGTCTTAAGACTTAGATAGAACACTAATTCAGCAATAAAATTACTTCATAATGATTTTATTTATGTATTTTGTTACCAAACACATTCTATAAATTCAATATGTGACTTATTATAGACGAACGGCGGAATCAAAGGCTCCTAAAATTTAAGGATTTTCTAATCGTATTGCTAATATATGTTCTGTACATAATTTAATTATGTGACACTCCCCTCCTGGCGTCAATGCTGTATCCGCCACTGATTGCAAATTTTATAATTTCATAAAAAATGGTAATAAATTGGTATTAAGTTTTAGATTTCGATTAGGCAACTTTGATGTCAAATTTCCAAGGTTATAGATCTCAAATATAGCCTCAAGTGAAAATCGCATCTTGTGGGTATAGTTGCATTTATATCGAGTCTATCGAGTTTAGTTATTTAGTCATAATTGGATTGGACGACTACTGGGTTGCCATCAATTCAAAAATCCATATAATAAAGTCAAAACAATTACTGAATACCCTAAGTGGACAGATTGTAATTTAAAAAAAAGTTTTAGTAACGTTCTAAGTATCTATATGAATTAAAAATAATAAATGTTACATTTTAGGGACCAACTTACTCTGGTGGATCGTATGAAAATCTAGCTATGTAAAACGCAACATCGACCTTTGCCTGGAATATCCAACATATCAACTTGTGGTTCTCCAAGTCCAGATCCGTTCAGAATTCTCGCTAAATAACAAATATTAAAATGTTAGAAATATTTAGAAGAAAATCAATCATGTATTAAATTATCCCAATGAAAATATGTTGAAGAATATATTGGACAAAGCCAGAAAAAAATAATTCAAAATATAGCCGTATTGTATTAATTATAATTATTATTTTAAGACTATTTAGACCAAAAAAAATAGACTAGCAAATTTAACAATATTTGGATTAGCAAATTATTTCCTCTTGGCATAACTTTTGTAATGGCAACAAATGACAAAATTATATATTTTGTTCTGTTATATTATTGTTAGCTATTTCTAAGGAAATCTTGCTATCCTGTTCTAGGTCATTTAAACAATTGTTTAAATAACTATACTCACAATCCAGTTCCATTTGATTGATTCTACTATTCATCGATCGATTCGCCAAATAGGATGTCGTATTTGCATTGTCTACCAAACCACCATACAGGGCCGATGATGACCGTCCATCCATGTTGGTGGTACGGGTGAGCATGGTGTTGGAACTCTGGAAAAATCATTGAAAGAGACCATTGAAAAGCAATTCATTTGCGCAGGAGGTATTGTTATATACAGTTTTTACATATGTAGTCATAATATTAACTCTTTGGGGACGGCTGTCACCTGAGTGGACAAACATACTCTGTGAGACACAAGCTGTTTTATAAACAATGACTCAGTTTGCATCGAAACGTTGAATAAATAACTTATAGCAGTGATAAACAGTGTTGTATTTGAAAAATAATTTTAAGTTATTTTAGTAGTATTTTTAGCCTTTTCTTTGCTATATAGTCTTTTTTTAAATATTGCAAAACGACCAAGCGCTTTTAATATGGCAAAACGACTGGTAATTTTGTAAATGCAGCAGTAGTAGATGAGTTTCAAATAGGCATTCATACAGACAGATTTTGCGAAATCACTATTCGCACCGAAAATAGTGATGAATGTGATGATGATATTATCCAACCAACAAAAAGAAGAAGAAGTTCGACAAATTAAATAAAGAGTGGAAAGACATTAGCGAATGTGCCGATTCTCTTTCAATAATCGAGTTTGACATACAACAACAAATACCCTGAATACAAATACCAAGCAATATGAGACATCCAATAGATTATTTTACTTTAAATTTTACAAATGGATTATTAGACAATATATAGAAGAAACAAACCATTATGGCAGCACAAAAATAAACAAATATACTGACTAATCAGTGGCATATTCTAAATGCGAGAGAAAGAAAAAGGGATTGTATTGTCTGTTCTGACAGAAAAGCACCAGGAGGAAGGCGGCAAACAACATTTTATTGTAAAACATGTCAAAATCAACCAGCTATGCATTTTGGAAATTGTTTTGAACGTCACCATTCTTTATGAAATGATCAAAAATAAATTAATATTATGAATGTATGTCCTTCAATGACCACAAACTTTTATCAAACAAATTGCATAACATACACAATGAAATCAAGTTTACAGCCGGTACAGTAGATTGTTTTGAAATCGGCGCCGTCCCGGGAGTGATAATAAAGTAGTCATAATATAAATATTCCATGTTGTAAATGAATTAGGCAAATAAATTATTTATACATTTGGTGTTCATACGATAGTTTATTAAAGTTACTGCTAACGATTGAACACTAACCTCCAAATAACATATCATGAATTCTACTATTACATTAGTTTTACTTTATTAATTTTATTTTATTATTTTAATTGCAACAAAATGCGCTTTATGTCATATCCATAGTGCCTTAGAATAAAACATGTTACCAAGAGTAGCTATTTCACTTATGGTAATATTTTGAACAAAATAAACGTGACCTTGATGTAAGTTGTGTGTCTAAGAATAACCCATTAATTTCCTATTTCCTATTACCCACCTTTGACCAGTAGCATATCTCGAAACACCAAGTTCCATCTCCTCCAGCGGTTTCAGCTTAACGTTCATGGATGATGCCTGCGCGGTAAGAGTCTGCGGCAGCAGCGATGACGGTTGCGTCTGCTGCGCACCCGACGTATATACAGTGCTGTAATATGAACCAACTCCGCCTGTAAGAGCGCTTGGAGCAGAACTGTTAGCTGCGCCTACTAAAGACTGCGTCAGAGCCGAAGATGCACCGTAACCTAAAGATGATGAACCTGGAGACATAACACAAATTATAATAAAGTATTTTTTCAATGTTCTTTAAACCATAATAACACTATAAATTTTATAGGTTCTATTACAAATAATTTAATTTTGCTATTCCAACTATATGTTAGGTACAATAATATGAAAGTTAAATATGAGCACTGTTGTTTAGTTTACAAAGCCCTAATATAATTTTAATTTACAAGATGTCATGTTAATTTTAAGTTACATCCAGCAGTTTTTTGTATAACTTCTATAAAAGTTTGCTTGTGGGTGGGGTAAAAAGAGCCAACTAAACCTTCATCCCGGCTTAGATGTAAACACAAAAAAATAGTAAATAAAAAATTTAATTGATTTAAAAAAAAACAATTTTACAAGAGATAAATTAAATAAATAGTTATTTTAACTCCGCTAAGAAGGGTATGCGAGAACTATGGAGGGAGATAGTAAGGCAAAAAATCTCCCTCAAGCCAATTTTATAACATTATTGACAAAAGAAAAGGATATAGATATATGGTGCACTATATAATTATGTACAATCAAATGAAATTATAAAATGTATATGACTAATTTATGTGTATACAAAGTCAATAAATAAACAAAAAAAAAATCCGTTGATGATTATTTCTGACGAATATAACAGATTAAGGTTATGTAAGTGTTATTTATGTGAAAAGTGTACCCATAAGATTTATATTTTGCATTGGTTAAATAATGTAGCTATTATTTCGTAAAATCCTTTTAAAATTAAAAATAAAGCATTGGACCTGTTTGCCACCTGGCCGTCTCATTATACCCCGCCCATAAGGTAAAAAGAACAAAGTGACAATTTTTTAAAAATAGAAAACAAAACAAATTTCTACAATGATGAATCAGCTGAGAGTTTTACTGAACATAGTCAGATAGTTGTTTGTACGATATGTGTTATTTGTTATGATATAATTGGTTTGGTTTTCACAATATAATTGCTCAAAGTCAATTTCGACCATTGTGTCCCGCCCTACCCAGAAGTAAATAATAATAATAATAATAATAATAAAAATAAGAATTCTTTTTGCAATTGCAATTCTTACCAATATTTAAATTTTTTAAACATATTTATACTGAGCAACAGATTACATATTAAGCTATTTAAATTAAGCAGCAACGAATTAAATATCATAATTTATTGTAAACTATGTATGTACTTGTGTAAAGTATTGTGCTCTTTGTATAAACATATTTTAGTAATGTATAAAAATATGATTTTGCATTTAATTTTATTAGTTATTGTATCTGTATATATATTAAATTCTTAAATTGCTGTAGTCTTCAAGGCTAAATTATGCAAGAAAAAATTATATGAAGAAATAAGTACATATATCAAAATTGTTGTACGTACAAAACTAGAAGTAGTAAAACATTTAGTGCTATTTTAGGCTGATTCCTAGATACTTGCAATGACAAATTTACTTGAATTAAATTAACTATCAATATTTAGTATGTATGTTATATATCATATTTTGCTATTTTAATGAATTTTTAAAATCTGTCTTACCTATGCCCATGAGGCCCGTCATAGTGGTTGGGTAAGAGTAAGCGGCCGAACTGTGTGGCACTGGACCACCTGAGAGACCCAGAGAATAGGAGGCAGATCCTGGAGGTGGACATCCATAAGAGTTATGTGCAGATGACAGTACGGGCATGGTGCTGCTCTGACAAAGAGGTTGTCCTGGTCCTGCTCCCGTTACGGTTCCCGAAACAGTTCCTGATAAACCGCTAACACCCATAGCGGCTCTGGACGGCAAAGGTGAACCTGGGATAAAAATCATATGTGAATTCCAAATACTATTGAATGGAATCGTAAGATATGAAACTAAAAATTTGATATAAAGACCATTATTGTGACAAATGTATTTTACCTGAAGACATAGCGATCATATCTGCTAGAGCATGACCACTAGAACTATGTGACAGCTGCTGTGCCATCTGCTGCGATGTCATGGCTGATAGCTGCTGCTGCTGGTGCTGCGACGTGACAGTTGTCAGGGCACGTGGAGGATGCTCCAGTTCGGCGAGGATACGATTGTCTTGTTCAATCTTCGCCATGATGCGTTCTATTTCTCCACTACCTGATAAAAGAAGAAAAATCAGCAAAATGGGATATTAAAAGCGGCCTTTAATTCGATACTCTTTAGCACGCAACATTGATTAATAAACCTATAACGTTAATAAATATGAAAACTTATAAATAATGTATTAGAATAATTGGTAAATCATTGCTTTAGGATAGTATAATAATTGAGAAAATACTACTTTTTGAAGTAAAACTTCTTTAGGCGCGACATTGGTGTAAATCCGTACAAATGCAACGGAAATTGTTACGCCAAGCTGAAGTGAGAGTCATTCTCTTTCGATGATATGATTTCTATACGGGTCGATTCTGATGCGTAACTTTATACGTGCGTACGTCACCGAGAGCGTGCTTTATACGTGCATACGTCACCGAAAGCGTGAAGCATATTGTTCAAATTTCAAAGAAATAATTGAGAAAATACTACTTTTTTCTTTTTCTTTCTTGTCTTTTGACTATTTCATCAACATGTAGTCAACTAGGCAACATTCTAAATTATCGTATCCTATGATCTGACATGCACCGCACGCGAAGTGAGCATGCACATTATTCATTTGCAAAGTTTCCTGCTTAGGCGCTCCAGTTCCTTGCGATTAGATATTTCAGATAATTTAGAAATATATTATAATAGAAATAATAATAGGAATAGTTTTAAAGAAGTAATCATTTGATTATTTGACAATTTAATCAAATTATATAGGGTTGTCCAGAAACTTGTGTTTTTGGAACTGACTCATAAACGGTTTCATGAATACTTTGACAATTTTTGTGCATGATGATCGAATTTTTTTGTATGCAATGTGCAGAGAGAAATCTTAAATTTTGGGTGCAAGTTAATAACATATCTTATCAACTTAACTAATAACAAAGTGCACGTTTCTAAATCAGTTTAAAAAATTAGTTTTGAAGATTTTTTGGTTGACCAACTAAATTTGATGTTGACCAAATAAAATCAATCATTGAGGATTGTCAGCAACTATTTGGGAGATCACAAATCCATACACTAAATGGATATATTATATTCACTATAATATGCCTAAGATTAAATGTATCGCACACAGCAACTGATGGAAGACTTAGTAAGTAACTCGTTTTCTGGGTCTGATATAATTGGCATCTCATTTAATACTACGAATCAATATTTGCATATTCATCTCAAACGATTCAATGATCTCGAATTCTTTTTTTACTTAAATCACCAGTACGTTAAAATAAATCATGTACAGTAAAGAAATTCATTAATTTTGCAATTTCTAAAATGATCATGACCATAACGTGTTAAACAAAAATCAGTATAACAGATTTGAAGTATCAGTTCAATTAGACTATCAAAATGTTTATTTTGAGCTGCTTCAAGATAAGCAGCTTATTATTAATTTACGGTCAACACTGCTATAACCATGTTTTATCATTAACTTACCTCCTCCAGAGCTGGTTACTGAAGGAGTGGCCCACGTGACAGTTGCTCCTCCAGATGATACTCTAGCACTATTACCTCGGGACTTCAAAGCCGAAGACAATTCTAATTGTAATTCTTCACATCTATGGATAAAACAAAATAATTGAGTGTTTTCTAAATAGCCAGGATAAATTATAAAAAATAATTTAATTTAATACAGGACAATAATAAATAATTTTTCTAAATATTGCTGAGTACTAGTCATCTCTTAGAATAAAACTATTATCATGGGTCACATTATTATAAAAAAAAAATTAAACTAAATTGAATAAAATAATTTTTTGATGAAAATTTTGATAAAATACTATTTTTTGAATTAAAAAAATACTAATATATTTCTGAATACTTGTCACCTCTTAGAACAAAACTATTATCACGGGTCACATTATTATAAAATTTAATAAAATAATTTTTTGATGAAAATGTATTTTTTGATAAATATCAGTAAACTATCATGTTATCATATATTGCAAAGAAATAAAATATTACAAAAATGAACAACATTATATTACTTATCTTGATTTTGGTCAAGATTCAGAACTCTTGTGAAATAGTGCAAATATACAAAACCGATCTTTATCCTTTACCTCACAGTCTCCAATGCCGCCTTCTTCTCCAGTTCTCTAGTTCGCGATTGCAATGCCTCCAACGTCTCACCAGACGCTGTCCTGGTGGCACCAGTTGCCGTTGTCGCTCGCACCAGGCTGAGGGCATCTTGGTGCGCCCGTTCGGCTTCCGCTCGACGAGCTTCGGCCTCCCGCAGTTGCACCGTGAGCGCTTCCAATGCCGATTCGCCGTACGACATGGCGCACTGGTCAACGGATCTAGAAGCAATATTTTTTGTTAAAATTTAATAAAACTAGTGGGGTGCATGGCATTGTACCTTAAGGCAAATTGCTGAAACTTTTCGTACCGTAATTAAAAATCTTGGTACGTAACCCAAAAAAATTACACATAAATGTGTACACATTATTAAAATCTCTATAGAATATCTGATAATTTGATGTACATATGTCCAATAAACATTTTTGACCGCCAAATGACCGCCTTCCCAAAAATTTAATCAGTTCTTCACCTTGTTGATACAAGTAAAATGTTTTTTGAATTATTCAAATCGGACGCTCCGTTCTCTTAAAAACTGAGTTACCGTTTTTGACACTTTCAGCCCCATATCAGCACGTCTCCTTATCAATACGAATCGATTTTTTTTGAATGTTTTCAAATCGGTTGATCGGTGTTCTCGAAATCGTCGACGAAAATTTGTATCCGCGCACAGATACACACCAAAAATATTCAGAAACCTTTGAAACGTAAAAATATTTAATTAATTATAAGTAATTTTTATTTTTGATTTTTGTGCTATTACTATAACTTACCCTATGGGAATTTAATAATTGTAATCAATTCATATATCAATTACCAATAACCCAATAAACCGTTGCTCCTATTCAGTTGATAAACAAGCATGGCATTTGAAAAAAGCCTTAATCCAATTTTTTTAAAATAATATGCTAAGTCAATTAATTTAACTTAATAAATTATGTTTAGTTCATAGACATATCTTTATTTCTGTATATTATACATTGATTTAGGTTTTAGAATTGAAATCCTAGTGTCGGATGATCTCGTTAAAGCTCTTAGATATAATCAGTCTTAAAACTGCTGCATTTTTTTAGTTTTCTTGAATTGAACTCTTGAATTTTCAGAAACTATAAATTTTTAATTTTTAATCAATTTGTACAAATAATTATCGATTTTTGTTTTTATCAAATCCCTTAATTTTACAATATATACACAGTAGCAGTTTCTAAAACTAGATAAACAAATTTTATAGATTTTATCAATATGACGCTTTATCCACAAACTTCGTTAGACGTGGAATTTAGCTGAAGTTTTATTTGGAATCTAGTTAACTTTTGATCATACCTCATCTGGATTTTTCTTATGTTAACAAATTATTTTTGGAAATGGCTAAATATATTTTATCAATAAAAGACAGAATTTAAAGATTATCTATAATAATTTCAAGTAAGTGCAGTTTTTTAACTAGACCCATATGCAATACTAATTAATTATATTATCAAGTATTATAAAATATTAATAACATTTGATTTCAAGTGAATGTAAAACTATGTAATAAAATTCATTCTCAAGCAAAAATTAATGCTTGTTTGAAAATTCAACGATTATAAATATGTGTGAGTATACATTTTTTGCAAGATTTTGAATTTGATTTGACAATTTTTACAAAATAATATGTTCAAAAACTTAATTTTTAATGTTATAAGTTTAAATATCACGACGTATCACCAAAGAGGAGGGTGAGTCCAAAATCCCTAAAAATCTATCACGTATAATGGACGTTCTTTTTAATGTTTTCCTATTTGAGCCAAAATTTTGAAAAATAGTATATATTCATTAGTTTTCTGTATTTATCAAAATATGGGGTAGATCAGCCTAAAGGTCCGCGGGTAAAAAGATCCACCACCGATATCTCAAAAACAAGTAAACTTAAATTTTTTTTAAAAACAATATTTGAAAGTAGAGGGAAAAATATGTATAGCCAGCCATCTCGATTCTAATACGTTCGCTATCTAGGGGTAAATGACAATGTTTGAAAATCCATAACAAAAGTCAATCTTTCGTTGTTCGTTCTTTTTGATTATGATACCTTAATTTAATGTTTGAGTATACGTTATTTAATTGCTTTATAAGATGTATTTTTAATTTGAAGTTGGATTTAATAGTTTTTTTATATAACCTCTATTAAAACTAACTATATAAACTAACACGAGGTAAGAAAGACCAATTAAACCTGTACGCTGGCAAACAATAAGAAATAGTAAAAAAAATGAAGTAATTTCAAGAACAATTTTACAAGAGATAAATTAAATAAATAGTAATTCCAACTCTGCTGATGACGAAATACCAAAACAAAGTTATATACAGTGTTATCTTTGTGAAAAATATACCTATGAAACTTGGTTGAATAACTCAGCTTTAATTGCGTAAAATTCCTTTAAAAATATAAATAATACATTGTATTTTTTGTCCTCCGACCTCTGTCTCATACAGCCTATGAGGTAAAAAGGACCAGATTACAAACTTTTGAGAAACAGCAAAAAAACACATTTCTACAATGATGAATTAGCTGGAAGTTTTATTGAACATAGTCAGTAAGTTATTTGTTTTATATGTGTTATTTGTTGTGATATAATTGGTTTGGCTTTTTTATTGAGAATATAAATTTTATTCATCTCAGACAGACGGAAGTGCCCGGTATGAGAGATTGTACAAAATATCTATACAATAGTATTATTTCATACATGTCAATTATTATATGCATTAATATGTATATAATATGACCATTTCATTCGAAACTTACTCAATTCAATCATATGTTTATTCATTTTTACATTTATACTTTGGTCTAATTTATTTATCTAGTTTTTAGAACATAATTGATCAACGTCAAATTGGATCCTTCTGTTCCGCCCTACTCTACATCTACACATA